ATAAGCAGAAAAAATCTGCACACATGGCATCTTTACCTGAATCTGAGTCTTGACACAAACAGAAACTGGCCTAATTTGACACTCTGAATGGAAACTCAAGCATCAAGAATTGATCTGAGACCCCTGCCAACCAGTTAGAACCAGCTAGCTTAGTAAAAAAAAATAGATTTTTGCGTTCTCTGTACCATTGCCCTCAGTGTGGGCTGGTGAGGCATTTCGGAGTAGTTATAAACTCCAATAAACTCGAGAAACGCTGAACCCACCCACCACAGACCAACACACTATGAGTAAAACCTCTCATTAAAACTCCAAGGCTCTGAAATTACAATGATTTGACCCATATGGAAAGCATGAGAAATGTCAACTGGAGTAGGGCTGTGCCGCATGGTTTTTCAACGTGTGGCCACAGACAAGCTCAAGCTCTCCAACATGATATTCAGTGTGGCCCCTGCCAAGGAATACAAGTACTGAGGATGCTGAGGCAGATGCTCATGCTACGAGCCCAAGACAAGGCCTGTAGGGAAATACCCTTTTCAAAACCATACAAATGCTCCCACAGACCAACAACTCCTCCACACCAATGAATTCAGCATAAACAATATAAGTAATTATTTTTGATAAGCAACATCTTTACACTATCATAGCAAACGCATCACCGTATTAACTAGGGATGCACGATATAGGATTTTTGGTCGATATCTGATATGCCGATATGTTAAAACTTATTTGGTTGACAACTGATACCAATACCGATACATATATAATTTTTTTTTCTTTTTTCTTGCCCCTAGACATACTTACAGAGACTACATAACGTTCTCTGTTGTGGAATTACAATACTACATTATTCTGCATTGTTTTTGTCAGTTTGGCCTGCTACCAAATACAGATGCCAAAAAGGGGACTGAAAACGATGTCACACTTCAACTTGGATTATGTTTAATGTCAAACTTATTCATGACATTTACTATCTCTAACACGATGACAACATATGACAACAGAAAGAAAAGCTTTGCAGAGAGTGGTGAAGGCTGCACAGAAATCTGTTGGAATCAGCCTCCCCACCATCACAGACATCTACACCTCCAGATGCAGGAAGAGGGCCACCTGCATCATGAAGGACCCCACTCACCCAGCACACACACTTTTTGCCCCACTCCCCTCAGGAAGGAGGTTAAGGAGCATTAAGTGTAGAACCACTAGACTGAGGAACAGCTTCTACCCTGAGGCTGTTAGACTCATGAATCTCTAACTAGAATAATCACTGTGAAAAACCATATCATGTTGCTGCTGATCTGTTTCATGTTGCTGCTGATCTGTTTCAATGTTGATGTGTTCATGCGTGCACATCTGCTCACAGACTCATGTTCATGTTTGTGCTGATGTTCAATGTTTTATGTTATGAGTGCTTAGTGTATATTTAGTTGATGTTTTTCTTAGTTCATATCTTAGATGTTATTACTGTTTTTCTTATACATTTTATTGTTGGATGTAACTGGGACCCTGTGTACATAATTTCGCTCCACCACATGTACCACATGAGGTGCGAATGACAATAAAGAAACTCTGACTCTGACTCTGACATTTGAACAGTGCAAATTTGTAAATTTTCACTAATCTAAACACAATGGCGCGAGTGACGTCATAATGTGCTGGCACTGCAGGCATCCTAGTCACTGGGTTGTATGTATATATGTATGTATGTATGTGTATGTGTATGTGTATATGTATATATATATATATATATATATATATGTATGTATATATATATGCATATATAAACAGCACCCTTTATATCAGTGAGTTATTTTGATGAATGGCCGATGTCCGATATTTAACTTTATCGCTAATATTGGCCGATACCGATACCATGCCGATAATATTGTGCATCCATAGTATTAACCTTAGCACAGTCCGTCAAATGAACTACATGGTTGATTATATATATACAGTAAATATGTGATCTGCTTCTTAAAAAGAAACCTATATTTTGGGTTGAAGTGCTACATTAAAAGTTTAGTCTCTGCTAACCAGTTAGCGCTACTTCAAGTCTCCGTTGCTGCAGTATCCGAATGTTATTTAGTTATTTTTACAGCACAAATGTCCACCTTGCAGACTCCAATTCCATCATTTTGGGATTGGATAGCAGGTGATAGCAGTCCTTGTCCTACTCTTAGAGGCCTGTTGTAAGCTGAAGGGCCACTCCAAGCAGATCCAGCAGCTGGTGTGGACGTGCCGCTACATCGATCTTCCACAGCAACAGAGCAAAACAATGACGTAACCGAAAATTGCCTGTGGCAAAATAGCAAACTACAATTGTTAGCTGCAGTGGAGTCTGAGAACGCTTGCAGAACAAGCGATATTCTGGAGAGGCTGAGAGATAATATGATCAGCCACTACAACAACCAAATAATTTGTGAAGGGAAGATAGTGGGAAAAACAGCTGCCAAGTGGCCAAGCTTTAAGAAAGACGAGTCAGAATGGTAGAAAAATTAATCATTACTTCCATTCAGACATGTTTGAGCAGAAATCACAACAGAAGTAGAGCTGGACCTCCTTGAGTTTAAGATAGGTTTGGATCCAAGCAAACTCGTCAACAACTCTTCAAGATAGCAACCGAGTTGACTTCAAGTTTATTGGAAAATACCTGATTTTAATCACCTTTTCAATTTTAAAATTCTCAAGAGCAAATATACAGGCGTCAAGCCTCTGAAACTAAGTGCAAAAAGTACCAGATGTTGCCTATTAGGTAAACAAATAGTAAATATTCAGTACAGAAAGTATTTTTGAGTGACCAACAACGCAACTCTTTTATATGTCTGATGCTTAACTACTATTTAGAACTGCTACATCTCTGCCATTACTGAAAAAGTATATGAACTTCACATGTGGAAATCCTATTCACAGATGAAAGCATCATGAATTACCATGAGGCATGTATGAAACACATATGAAACGCGATTTGCACATTTCTTGTGTGCATACGGAACAATTGTATTCAAATAAGCTCATCTTCTTCCTCAGACTCCTTTTATATTCAGTCATTAACATTTGCGACCAAGAAAAAAAAATTATTCTTATATGCATGTCATTACATGTCAAATGAAAACACAACAGCAAAAGGATGCTGTATTGTAAATGAGTTATTTCCTAAATGTTTCTCAGTAGTGCCACGTTTTCCTGTCTGCTCTGTGCCTATAGCTAATGATGTCACCAGCTAAGGACCTTGGCTTTTATTCATGCATGGGCAGTGCTCTGAAAATCACAACATAAACACCTTTATGGAAAGGGACAAAAAAAAAAACATACTGTGGACTACAATGTGATCCCCCCCAGGAGAAACGGTCATGTAAGTCACATGTTTTCCCTTGAATAACCTTTAGGTTTTGATTAAAGTCTAATACCTTGTGGAATTTGTTACTAATGAAACAAAGTCTAAAATATTAGCATACCTCGACTATATACTGATCTCTGGCTTTCACAGCCCACAAATAGGATAAAGAAAAAGGGCTTGGGAATAATAAAAATCTAACAGCTCCCCTGCAGACTTTATCCAGTGAGCATGATGGAAGAAAACACTGATGCTTCAGCAGCATGACACCTATCAGAGCTGTCAACACAGGTTTATGTGACATCTATCTATAACATAGCAAAATGTAATTCTAAATCTCTAAGCCAAACTGTATCTGACAGTTTGCCTGTGTCACGAAACAAATTAGAGTGAAACTCCATAAATCTTCAACATATGATGGAGCTCACTGCAATCATCCACATGCAAATGCAACCACGATGAGCTTATAACCTGTAAGCAAGTTTAATTAAAAAAAATTACAAACATGTAGCATGTTGCTGCCTATTCAGTTGGCAGGAAGTGAAGGTTAGAAACCGAACATTCAGCAAGGCCTTGGGATCTGCTTCAGAAAACCTCTGATGCAATTCCAAGAAACTAACCCCGCTCCCTTCAATGTGCCTGTGACAGCTTTAATTAAATTTACGTATTAATAAAGAGTGGCAATCGGGGCCATATCAGTATGTGGCTCACCTCGCAGAATTCTTTTTTTTTTTTAATGAATAAACAAAAGAAAAAGGGAGCAGAAGGCTTGATGTAATGCTGGCCATCTTAACGCATATCCAGCCACTGAAGCCACCTCCATCCCTCAAAGCATGAAGGTAATTATGCAAAGTGGCTCACCTGTAAATGATGCACCATGATTTGTGCCTTTGGTCTAATGCAGCTCAAATAAAGAGCAAATCCTTGGGTTGGAAACTGTCTCTGCAGCAGCAGAGTAGTTGCAAAAAGCTATATAAAGGGAGACAGGTGTTTTGTGCATCTTCTGCGTCTGAAGATTTCACGATGGATGGAGGCTCGTGTGCACGCGCGTGCACGATCCGAAAAAAAAAAAAAAGCCAACGCAAATCTGTTTTATTATCATGACAGGTCAAAGAAAATGGAGGAGCAAATCATAGGCGAAGGAGGTGACGACACCGAAGCAACCACTTCTTCCCTCATTTCTTTTATTATTATTATTATTATTATTATTATTTATTCTGGACAGATTTTCTGCTCGGTTGAAATTTCCCCTGCACAGACAGAAGCTGTAGGTGCATGCGCAGCTTCAATGAAGAGATAAGTGAATGAAAACATTCTGCCTCCTCGTTCTCGTGTTAACTTTGGTGCTGTACTTGATTCAAACAAAAAGGCATTTCTGCGTTTCACCTTCAAGTAAAACTAATAATTATTTGCTGCAGTTGACGTTAAAAGTTGCCGTTTGCTGTGCGCTTGAATCAAACACGCGTGGCAAATTCAGCTCGACGTCCCTCACAGACTTAAACGTGTTTTTTTTTTTTTTATTATTATTATTTATTCTATGACAGGTTCGGGAATGTACGGCGGGTAAAATGCATTGCTGAGTTCGGTAACTTGATGGTAAGCGGCGTGTCAAGTTCACCGTAAAAATAATAAAAAAAAATTAAAAAAAGAAGATAATTTAGGCACTTACCGGATCTCTGTTCGCATTTCTCTCCTGCTCCGAACCCACGGAGTCCACTTCGGCGAGCACGACAATCCACAAAGAAGTTAGAAACCAGAAAAAAAGAAGAGAGAAAGGAGGGCAGGAAGATACGAGTCCACCTCCGGAGGAGCACGAGGTTCGGTCAACCGACCCAGCCAACCCGGGGGTCGTGGACTGGATCTATTCGTGGCAGCTCGCGAGCTGCTAACGGGTTAACGTCAGCCTCGCGCGCTCGTTTTCGGCGTGCCGCTGCCAACAACCGGAGGCGGCGAGTCGGTTTCTTCTCTTCTCCTTGTGAAATTACTCCAGAAGTCGGTCCCCGGTCCGCGCAGAAGGAGCCGCGGAAGGCTTGGAGTTGTGTCTCCCCCCCCCTCACAGTCACGCTTCTACTGCCTCCGTGGTGGAAACGCACGCGCGGGTCGGTCAGCGGGATTTTCGGATTCACTCGGCTCCACTCGTGTCGTCGCTTCTTCTTCGAGTCCCGAAGCGTCCTGAAGCACGCGCCCAACTCAGACGACTCCCCAAACAGTTGCTTCTGCTGTGCTGCTCACGCGAAGCGCCATCTTAAAAGAGACATAAGGTGAATTTGTGAGATTAGCACTAAGGACAGGGGCGGATTAGAAAACAATGGACCCCTGGGAACAGACGTAGAAAAGCCCCCCCACCACTCTAGCCACCCTAATCCCACTAAAGTCCAAAACACTCTAAATAGAAGACAGTCGCTGATATAGCCTAATTTGGGATTTGGTGTGTCTGCCTGCATAATGTTAGAAATATTTTATGCAATTTTGTCCTTTTGCATAAATGCATGACTAGTTTTCTTTATTCTGTGGGCTTCCTGTCTCATTCAGTACAGTTAAAATGTAGTTTATTTACTGTATCGGGAATAAAAAAAATCAGAATAGAATTCAAAATATTCTGACCTAAAAAGGTTTCGACAACCTAGTGCCATCTTATATTATAGATATTATTGTCCCATATTTTCCTAACAGAGAACTTTGCTCTCAGACTGCAGGCTTACTTGTGGTTCCTAGAGTTTCCAAGAGCGTAACAGGAGGAAGAGCTTTCAGTTATCAAGCTCCTCTCTTGTGGAACCAACTTCTAATTTCTGTCCATAAGGCTGACACATTGTCCAGTTTTAAGATAAGACTAAAGACATTTCTTTATGATCAATCCTATACTTAGGATTAGCTTGTCATGCTACCATAGACTTAGACTACTGGACAAATTGACCACATTTCTTATAGTCAATTGTTGCAATTTAATAGTTTTCATTTGAAATTATTTGTATGTTAAATTGTGATTCTCGACCAGCCGTTGTGTATCTGTTCCTTTCAAACCCAGCCGGTTGAAGCAGATGGCCGCTTGTCCTGAGCCTGGTTCTGTTGAAGGTTTCTTACTCATAAGGGCGCTTTTCCTTTCCACTGTTGCCTTTATGCTTGCTCAAGATGAGAGTCTGCAATGAAGTTAAACTCAAAGCAGTCTGCTCAGATAAATAATGTTAACTTACTTTTTATGTATATGAATGTTTCTGTACAGTGCCCTGAGATGACTTATGTTGTGACTTGGCACTATATAAATAAACTGAATTGAATTGATTGAAATGAATTATCGGGGAAGGCTTGGCTCAGGTGGGTGGGTGTCTTTTAAGCAGGAAGGCTAAGATTCAATTCACAGCCATATGGTGTGCCTAAGTATCCTTGGGCAAGACACTTTTGTTGCAGTCTACGTGTTTAAGACCAACCAATCAAGAGCCATGTGGTTACATTTTTAATCTATTTTAGGTTCACAGCTTGCAACAGTACATTCTTGGCAGTCCACATTATTATGTTATCCATCGTCACCCACCTTGATTTGCTTTGTACCCATCTTGGCAGCCACTCCCACATTCATGATACAATGATTACTCTTTTGAAATAAAGATACTCAGATTTGGACCTGTTTTTAATATATTTATTTATTATCAGTGTAATTTTTAGACCCTAGGATGTTTTCAGTAAAAGGAGAGCTCCCATGCAGGTGTCAACATACAGCTTTACAGTAGTGCTCGAGACAAGTTGGAGATGCTCAGAACAAAAATCCGGTGGGTTGGAGACACATGCCACAACTCTGTGACTCGAGACCCCCAATTTGCAGGGCATTCTCATGAATGGTAATTGCTTATGTTTCATTTTTAGTATCGTTAACTAAGAATGTAGCCTTGTCTGCTCGTTGAAGTACAGTACATGAAAGTTTTGCTTAGTTGCAACTGACATCTGCAACACAAAGGCAAACAGTTAATCTGTAATTTATATGTTTGCGTTTTTATGCAAGATTACAACCATCATTTTATGGTTTATTAAATTTAATTTCTGTACACAAGACTGAAGCAAAATAAAAATATTTTTATTTTAATAAACACAATTTCCATGTGGACAGGGCCTAACTTTCTCTCAAAATAGACAGAATTGTCAGAGGTGTCCCCAAACTCTCTCCAACTCACTGGAATTTTGTTACGTGCATCCCCAACCCGTCTCAAGAGGGCTAGAGCTGAAATATTGTTATGGCTGTCATACTAGGGGTTGCAGGTAAGATAAGAGATGGAGATATGACATCATCGTTTTCAAAATGTTACATTTTTGTTGTCTACAAAAAAAAAAAAAACCTCAAGGGTGGCTTTTTTAGTTTTTAATTACATAACCCATTTTCAAAATTGTTTTAGGCGGTGGTGGGCACAGCTAACCAAATGTTAGCTTTGCTAACCTATATTCCGCTAACTAGTGATTTAGCGATAGCTAAGCCAATTCTTTAAACAAGTATAAAAAATTACGTAAGTTAAAGCGCTAACTGCTAAGACTATTGTCAGTCTGTGTCACACATTAGAGTTGCACTCGGGTCCAAATAATCCAAACCGACCCGGCCCCAGCCCATAGCCATCATCTCCGAACCCCACCCGATCCGACGAATTAACAGTAATTACAGGTCCGAACCTGGAAAAAAAAAAACTGTCATTTTCAATTAAGCTTTGACTGCTTATACTACCGACTATTATTAACGGTTGACGGATGCGCAAGGCTGAATGGGGCAGAAAATCAGAGCTGAAAAGCCGTCAAAGCGCATTAAATGCTTCCCCTGCTACTGCCTGCATTGGACCCTGCTCTGACATGTCAGATATTTTGTGATTTCACCTGTTTGGGTCTCAGCTGCACGCGTCCGCTGAGTGCAGCAGCTGAATGAATGTCCATTTGGGCTGATGGATTGCTGACAGTATTTCATCTGAAGCTTAAGTGAACTTTTTACATCTTTCAACCGGCTGGTCAGCGCACGGTGAAATGGCCACGTGCGGCAGGTGCAGTGTGGCAAGCCATGTTTGCATATAATGGATCATCGGCCGCACGCATTCCTGATGCAGTAAAAAGTTTGGCCCGCACATTAAGCACATTATTATGGTCCGGCCCGACCCGAATCCAGGTCGGGCGGAGCCGGGATCCAGGTTCGGGTTAGAAATGACAGCTCTATCACGTCTTTGCCTCCTTCCAGTTGAAGCTGTATCGACCAATCACGTCTTGTCACATGTACACAGTCAGCCAATAGGTTGCCTAACAGACTCTTTGAGACATGCCCACAATAGACAGGAACAAGTTTCTGGTTTTTGTTAGTGGACGTAAATTTGGCAAAACCTAATTAAGAGGAAGCTAATTTTACTAACAGTTTCCAAAGTCCATAAAAATGCAAACCTGCTAAACGAAAACTAGTTCCACTAGTAGCTGTCAGAGGATTAGTGGAACTGCTCACCGTTTATAGGTTACGTAAAGTGTCATTTCAGTATCGAAAAGGCCGAAACAATAAAATAAAAATAAAATTATGAGTTCACAAAATGCCATTTCATGTGGACGTGGCATAGTTTTTTGCATTTACCATTTCTGTGTAATTTTGATTTTGCAAGACGTACAGGTATAGTACTCATTTCAGGAATGCTCATTTTAAGTCACAATGGAGTTACTTTGTGTGTAATTTCAAAATGTGCAGATATTTTTTCACTTTGTATTTTTAATTATTTTGATTATCCTAATACATAATTTGAATCAGATTCAGGGCAATTTAAATGTTTTAGTTATAATTTTGACCTTTGTTACTTTATTTTCCACTCCTTTTTTGTTCTAGTCACATTAACCCTTATATTTATGTTCTTGGATTTGCCTTACCTAGCTTTATAACACAGTGATATTTAAATTAGATGTACTAATCAGACTCAATCTCGTATTTTGCATTAGAACATTAATTTGTATGAAAATATGTATCTAGACAATAAGAAGCGACAAACACCTGACTGATAGACCCAAGTACCATTTAAAATTAGACCACAAAGGCTTTGATATAAAACCAGTGATATTCAGAATATAATAAGGTTTTCAAAACTAAAATTAGGTTGGCAAATAAATTGACTATTGGATGAAGGGTAAATCTTAATATGGCCCATTTGGTCTTGAATGTGTCCTGTAGGCCTGTTCATTAATCTGTCCATGACTTTAGGTCATAGAAAACTGGAGGCAGATACTAATTTCATAATGACCTTGCTCCTAACATTGGTGTTAAACTGCTCCTCCTTAGGAGCCCTTCTGGCAAGTGGCCCCGTGATCTCACTGTGGGAAATTTCTGCAATCAGCAAAGTCATGAATCATCACTCAGAATAGAACATTTATAAATATTGCCTGTATTATCTGCATTTTCCTTACCAATTGAAAAAAAAAATCCCATATTTCCCTTCCTCTCATAGTGACGGCTCAGTACAACAGTGTAATTCATAATTTATGTGTTTGCCAACTCTCTGGCTCTTTCACCAGGAGATAATTTGGTTCTTTAAGACATCCTTCCAAGGGGGATGCAGAAAATATTCCCCAATCGATGATGCACAGGCAGGTCACCAAGCTGCCTTTGACAAGTAATACTTTGCATATTTAATTAATGAGATATAAGAAAGCCTATGCGCAGAGCAGTCAAGGACAGATTTTTGGAACTAAATTCAAAAGTGAAGTACGGTAATGGGGAAAGAGAATGTGCTTACAATGCAGGCTGGTTGTTGTGCATGAGCACTCAAGCGACTCGGTTGAAGGTGCAGGGCATGGACGCTGTGACCCCACTCCCCCTCAGTAATGGGTGCCTGAATAACTTCAGGATTCTGACAAAACGTTAACCCTGCCTTCTAACCTTACAAAGATCAGCTGGAAGTTTGGTTGAACCTTTGGTGAACTGCAGCAACACCTTCCTAATACCTGATGTACAAAATGTGACCAAGTTTTGTCCCTACAACTGGGTCACTCAATATGTTCTCTGTTAGGCAAATATATCTGCACATTTCTACGTTTATCTACCAAAATGAGATGCTACGCAACCTCAAAGTGATGGAAAATGATTTCTGTTTCTTTAGGTGTACAAATGATAACCCTGGTCAAAGCACAATGTTCTGGGAATAGGATCTTGTCAGACAAATACGAGACCAACATTATAACACTCAGAGGAAGGCCATT